AGGATCATGGTATTACCACTGTTGATATCGTCTATGAGAGCTGGTCGGATCAAGCAAAGGATCATGCCTCAGCTGGATGTGAGCTGTCTCTAGTGGCACTGTGGCCTAGGAACTCATCAGGCGTTGAGTGCCGAGATGAAGGAAGCAGAAAAGAAGGGGAGTCAACAGCAACTCATACGGGCCCAAACGAAGTGATTTGGCGGTGCTTCTTGGAGTGTGATAAATGTTGTTGGTTTGTCTGCACCAGTGTTGGGAAATATGCACATGGTCAACTACATGTGTTGGTGGCAATTTTGAAATTCCGAGGAAATTTTGGAAGTTTCTTCATTGTTTTTGTAAACTTCTACTCTAGCTTGGTATAATTAGTGAGGAAATTTCTGAACTCAGCTGAGGAGAGTGAATGTATATTCTCACACTGGTCTGTACTGTAGATACTCTCAGTTCATAAAGGAGCACGGGTCAATGGTGACGATGAAGGGCATGATGGGCATGTTCGTACAAATACCAATATTCACTACTGCCTTCCTTTCCATGCGTCAGATGTCTAATCATCCTCATATATTCAAAGGTAAATCACTCGCTGATTATGGTGTCCAGATTTCCGGGCGTTCAGGGTTCCCGATGGAGACGCCGTTATGGTTGGATTCCTTGGCTCTCTCGGATCCGTAGTAGCATCGAGCTCTGTCTCCTGTGAAGATTTACTGTCAGGATAATAGTCTTGCCAGTGTTGGCCTCGGCCTTGCTATTGACTAATATAGAGTTCTTCGGATCGCTGGATTCAGCACAAGCAGCAGAAGCTGGGGACCGTCCTGATACCAAGAACAAGCTTGGTATGACATTCTCATTGTGTTATGGAAGTGCTCATGTGTTGCTGCAGGTATTGACCAGAAGACTATGCAGAAGTATTCCCGCCATGGTTTCCGAGCCCTTTGCGTCATTGCTCTTCCCGCCACAATGTACCTTCCTGCGGGCCTTTTTGTCTACACCTGTGAGCACCGGTGGAGGTACATTAATTTGAGTAGTTGTTCGCAGGCACGAATGCCCTGTGGGCAATCACCCAAAACCGTATACTGCGGCTGCCTATTGTAGAACAAGCTCTCAATATACCACATAATGTAGGGTTGATGTAAGTGTGGACGAGAATGTCCTTTTGATACAGATAAAGAAAGAGGAGAAGAAGGATGAGACTTATTTCGACCCGGGCTCGATCGTCACCGTTGAAGAGGTGACAACTAACATTCCTGCTCGTGGCGTTCGCGATTCCCGACCTTTCTAGGCGCTACGAATATCTAAAGAGAACAGTCAACGTGCTGAACAAATTGCTCGAATGAACTTAGAGCAGAAGCTTGCGCGGCGGCAGGCGCAGGTGAGGAGGTTTGTATGAGTCAGTGGTCTGGCATTATCACTATTAGGCGGCCGTTGAAGTCTCTCTCCCACGAGTTGTGAGTATGAAGAGAAAGCAAAAGGGAGAGTGAGGGAGTTCATGTTAGTATGTTGTTTCTGGTCAAGTATCGGTGTTGCGCACAGCTTAAGTTTGTTTGTTTTACTAAAATGACGCATTCATGTTAGGGTTCAATG